TTCCAACACCACACATCTCTACGTCTTCATCATCTGTTTCTTGCGTTTCTGGCACGATCGAATCCTGGGACCAAATCATTTGCGCCTCTTCGATCGCGACCTTTGAGTCTTCGCTCTTTTCTCTCTGTTTCTGTGTTTTCTCCCCGGTCGATCTCTCTCGGCCGCTTTCCAGGTCATCTGCTGCCCGTCTTGCTGCAGCTGTCCCTGCATCACCACCGTGCTGACCGGGTTGCGGCGAGCTGCCTCGTCCCCTGTCCGGTGGCGGTGGCCGTGGCGGCTTCATCTCGATCGCGCTCTCACTCGAAGTTGACACCAAACTTGCCTGAATTTATACTCTGCCTCGGGAAACTGATGTTCCCACTGCGTCGCAGATTGGAGAGTGATGGGTAGCGTTGACGTAATGAAGTTTTCAAATGCATCGTATTGCTTGTCCGCGCTGACAACCCTGATTAGTATCAAAAATGTACATGTTAACACCGCATCACTAACACTGCGCGACAAGCTCATCAACCACTACATTGAATCAAATTATAAGTGTCCAAACTCTGGATGTATAGACAAATATCCGTACTTGCAGCACTAAGCGGCTCTAGCTGTCAACTTAGTTCAGCTGTCTTTTCTCTCCGCAATTATCACCAACACTAGGATGTGTACTCCTGTCGTCTCAACTGGCCGGAGTGAGCCACAGCGACGCTGTCCGCATGGCGCAATGTAGACGCGTGCGAGATGAGTCAAAATGAGGTAGGGTGAGCTATGGATAGCGCAATAGGTGGTCTGATTCACTCTACTTCGGACGTCAAGCTTTACTGTAGCAAATATATACGTGATGAGCCACCGATCTATCTCATCACCATCGTGGAGTGCGGAGATAGAGCGTTTCGAAGCATGTTAAGGCCATACGACAGCAAAGCACATGCACAACACGGAGCAACGGTATCAACCAAAATCTGGGCCAGAGTAAAAAACGCTCGCACAAAACTTAAGTTGATGTTCATAGACTCACCGAGGATCAAGCAGTACAAACACTAGAAATTGCCTTATCAAACATTTTAGTTTGTTTTGCCGGCATCTTTCGCTAATTGCCTAGCCAGCTTTCCCAGGAAGGCCACACGCTCGACGTCGCAAACTCGAACAGTCAAATAGAGGTGCAACGGGGTCGTTTAAGTAATAAGGCCGTGGAAGGCGAGATGCAGTCGAAACGGTACGTTACTGTGAAGGCGCTGGACAACAAGACACTTACATAGTGTTGTAGCTGCTAAACAAAATACATGTTCTGATTTAAATTAAACAAAATGTCTATATGAACGGTTTGTTTGTCACAAAGAGGCAAGTAGGACAGCTACGCTGGTGTATTCAAACTCGAACAACAAAAGAAGTATCCCCTGCAGACTCGAGTATGACCATGAAGGTCGCGACGGGACCGAAATATGCCCATGCCCGTCAAGCCCACGATAGCGTCGAAGGAGGCGTTAATCATACGATTAACGTTTTTACTAGGCTGTGAGCTAGTTTTTCGTAATGATTCAATTTGTTAAAGTGAGCGAATCGATCAAATTTTGCATTTAACTCTGACTTTGAAAAGCTTCAAATCTCTAGATGTGTTCTCTGTTGTTTTATATTGCGATACACATATTACGTTATCAGAACATTGGCCATGTGTTTCAGTAGATCTACCTCGTTTTCATGTCGCGTGCCAAACCGAAAGCGCCATCTCAATGTAAAGGCTTTTTCAATTGGAAATTCGGTTACTAAGAATTTCGAAAAGTGGTAGCAATTTCTCTAGCGCGAGAACCTAGAGACTCAAATCTGAAGATATCTTTGAGCTACTGAAATTCAATCTAAACGCATAGATTCAGCTTATCAAATTGTGTCGAGTGGTCAGTACAATAGTATGAACCTAACAAACACTTCTACTATTTTTTCGTGTGCTTTACTCTGGTAGAGGTTGCGCGAGTCGAAACCTATGTATTAAATTCGACCACCACGAGTAAGGGTGCAGAGTGCCAAGGCGCCGCTTTACGATCAACTTATGAATCGCCTGCATGTAGTGCAAAACGTGAAGAGCGCAGTCAACCAGGTTAGCTTGACGAGGCTTCGTGATGTAGACGTACGTTGTCATGGTTTGTCCACTCTGTCTTCGCAAGGAACAACTCTATTACATCGAATAGATACAAGGCGTTGTGGCGTCCATGCATGGCATTTTGATGATGTACGGGAAAACCTTTAGTCGCCAGCGGTATTTTAACCACAAAAAGACTTCAATGGCCGTCGATATCATCCGATTGCAAAAGATAGGTGCATGAAGTCTAATTTTGGCCATGTACAATCCGCGAATCGCTAGCGTTACAGCTGTTCCGGTTTGTGCACGGGTTGCCTATAAGAAGGCCGAGGCAACATGGGAGAAATAGTTCGTCTCGACCTATGCTGCGATAAAAAGGTCATTAACGGCATTTGACACCATGTTTCGACCCACAAAGTCTGCAAAGCCATACACTAGCAGCCCCCCCCCCTACTTGCGACCTAACATCTACGAATGGCGTAGTGCTTTGAGCTTGAGTACATTGTGTCCATCAACACGCACCTGAACATCGCGGATAACAATCGATATCCAAGCACATAAATTATTGCACTCGTCGCACTTCCGCAAGTCGTTCGTCTGCCTAATAGACAGCAGATGGTCACCACCCTCATCTGTATTCGTGACGACCAGTATCCACGTCGTAGCTGCAGGTTTTTCCTCGACGCTTCGACACTTGTTTCCCTTGATCTCTTCGTAGCCCTACAGCGAGTAGTGGTTGTGTAATGGTCATGTATTTACTTCGTTTGCTTTTTACACTATCGTGTTGAGGAAGCTCGCAATAGGACGACGGAGACTTACGTTTAACTAAGTTTCAACTCTGACTATATTTTAAAGCCAAGGCCACTGTCCTGATCACTTAAACGCTACATCGCCTATTGTTTTTAATGATGGTTTTGGTTCTCCCAATAGAGTACAACACTTCCGCACACGCTAGCCGAGGTAAATTTCTTTGCATGAGTGGATGTGTGTGGATGCGTGTGCATCCACTCATGCAAGGAGCTGCACCTACTTATGAAATTGAGGTGCCCATTACAGACCGATAGTTCTGAGACTTGATTCAATCGAGCGGGTTTGTCTACATATCTGCAATTATCGGCTTCGCATCGGAGCATGTCGTGCACAAACGCTCACGATCTTTGCGGTTTCGGACGTAGTGGAATCTGCTCTCAATGTGCTTGTTATCTCTGTGCTAGACCTGCTTCTTCGACAAAGCGATAGTCTTTGCGTAGCCACGTTGTCGCACCAAAGTGTTGATTTGTTATACATCCACCGATGCTCATCACGCAGACCTCGAAATCTCATGTCTTTTTCCCCCCTCATTCATTACAATTTATTCGACTTAAATAGTGCTTTAAGAATGGGGTCTCTGCTCGTGGGAGTCACATGAAATCGCACATCCGTTGGTCATTGTGAGATATTATCCGCTCACCGATAGATGGTTGAGCTTGTCGCTCGCATTGTCAGCAACGATGTGAGTTTCTATCCACTGTAAATTCTGTTTGTCTGGTCCGGCCACTACCATGCTTAGCATATACCCTTTAGCTGGTTTTAAATATCTGAATCCGCACTTTACTTGGGCGTAATAAGCTGTAGTGAAGGAAAATAGGAATTCTCTGAGAATGCGAACGACGAGGGCAATGCCTAGCCATGATCTCGCCACGAGATATTGGTGTCCTCCTACGACTTCACGATGCGGTATGCTGCACGGTTTACCTTTAGCTCCGTCCGTTCGATTATCTTCAGCTGATGTTGGATCTAGGTTATGTATTTCATCAGACTTATTTAGTCTTAAGAACACAAAACAAAATCAATTGTATATAATCTAGCGCAGGAGGCCGAGTTTCCGACCAACTTCTATACGAAGAACATGGAGAGCTCACGCTTCTTTAGTGCGCCGATTTACGTTAAACTACATCGGTAGACGTGCCTAACTGTGCAAACATGCCAACAGCTAGGAACGAACGTCTATTGCTGTTAAAAAACGCGAATATACGCCCTTCGTTCTAATACTTTATGCCGGCCCCAAAAAGACTTTTTTTCTGCAGCTTCGTAAGTTCGGCTTCAGTACTAAAGGGGGAGCAGCCGACGGTACTGCGTGCATATCTGTGTAGCAAACGCTAGTATGCCATTAAGGTTGAGGCAGTCTTGTGCTCCGAGATTTTGCAAGAGCGACACCTTGCTGCAGCCATGAAATGGGAATGGAGAATTTACGCGAGCGCCTGATGTGAAAGACAATGAAGATTCGACTGATGGTGGTGAAGATGACGCCACTTCGCCGTTTGCGACACGTCTCCACATGCCGGTGGCAATACGAGCAGCTGCTTCTGCTGTCCAAAGTATTCTGATCAAAGTATTGATCTTAATCACCGTTCGATTTGCTGTAGTTGAACGCTATTTTGAAAAACAAATCGACGGTTTTGGCGCTTGGTGGTTCTTTCTTTGTGATTATTGATACACGGTAATGTTTTAGCATGCACCGCTGTGAGCTCTCATCTTGAATGATTCAGGATATTTGTTTTCATCAAACCACAAGGGTTGGGTTTTGTTGAGTTTATCCAATATTTAGGATGCACAATGTCTCACAATAGATAGTTTAGCTCTTTCCCGATAGATACGTCAATGCGGGATTTAGAGAGATGGTTGCGCGTGAAAACCTTTCCTACGATTTGCTAAACGGAATGACATAGCGCTAAGCAGCTAGTCCAGACCTATGAGAATTCTGCTGTCATTTTTGCGATTCACGGCAAAAGTGTAGTTTCTACCAACCCCTGTGGGATGTCTATTTACGGTGCACGTCTAGTTAGGGTAAACAACTTGATATGTGATAGGTTGCTCGAATATATTTTATTTTTGGTATTGTTGGTCCGGTTGATAAGCGAGTACATTGATTTATCTTTTCTACCACTTAGGTTCACATTGGCTATATCTAATACCTGACGTTTTCAGATAATCAATGTCATCAATCTAGGAAATAGCCGTTATAATAATAAGCTCAAGGTCATAAAACCCAGCAACTTTTTTAATATATATTTCCCTAGCGTCGTAAACGTAAGCGTCGCTTCCTCCTTAAGGTCAGCAGTAAACGCGACAATTTGAGCTAGCCATCTTCTCGAAGACGGTTGTGTTTATAGCGCATAAGACCACATTTATTTTAGACTCAGCAAAAAAGGCAAAACAACAGCTCAATAAGGCCCGTTCTTAAATTTCCGAAAGAAATCCCAGGTGGAAGGAGCGTTGAATCATCCCAAAATCTTAAGATAGGAACCAAACCGTGGAATTGTGTGTTGTCCACGCTACCTATGGAAAATAAAAAGAGCTCTTAAATTTCATACAGCACGGGATCCATTCGCGCATGAACCTCGCTTCATTCACAAAATTATATACGTATCAGTTCCACACAAATAGTGATCCCGCACGTTTTTAGCAGCGCTCATTCATCGTATTCATAAGTACTACCGCCCACACACTTACCAATTCGGCTTCCTCGTCTGCCGTTTGCAAGCTGTTCATAGCCAACGGCAACCCATCGTGTTTACTGGTAATGGCGCACCCTAGACGCTGTAAGCGCCGCTACAAAATGATATTTGATCATTCAGTGCTGCTGAATCACCTAAACGAGCGACGCCGTCGCAAAAGCTGTCGGAGAACAGCATGTTTAGAATATAAACACGCAATCTACCGTTTTCCGCTCAAGCTTGGACCGATGGAAAGGGCTCTGCATGACTCCACTAGCCGTAACACCTTCCGTCACAAGCAGACTGGCACGGAGGGCAGCCAGAAATGACGATTTGTTCGATGAGGCGGGCGCTGTCCTGAGCATTCTACACTCTGCGCGAAAGGCGTTCGCACTCCACTTCTTGTAGTCTTCCATAGCGCTCTCTACGCGCTCGAGCTCCTTCATTTTCGCGCGAGTGAACCCTTGCCCTTAAAGAGCGTCTCCCACCAGTCGTCTTACTCCCGACCACGGAGCGGGAGCGGTTTGGGAGACCGAAGATCCAGTACAAATCTATGATGATTGTTTAATGTCCAATAGTCATGCGGAAAGATCTCCCTGGAGCAGGGAGCGGAGAATTAAGAACGCGCCTAAGTCAAACCTCAAAGCACATTGACCAACGAAGATAAGCATGAGTCGCTCACGCATAAATAGATAAAGCAGTAGCCGTTACTATCTCCACGACAAGGTGGAGATAGGCAAGCTCCTAACTGGCTATGTCGTATGATCTTCAATTTATGGGAGAAAATGACCGCTGTGAAAAAGCATCCTGTCTCCTCATGCCAGGCAGCAATGATTGGGCTGGTAGAAATTGGGCCAGTCAAGTATGTCCTTGGCGTCGGATTTAGTAACGACTGAGCAACGTGCGAAGTGTTCTTCAGCTGAGCCAGCAATAGCAAAAGTATCCTGCATAGGTTTGTTTTGAAGGAGTGCCATGGAACCGCTACACCATAGCCAGCATACAGTGATAGAATGTACTAGTGAGCGTACTGCATAACCGCGTTTGTGGTTTATGCGCGTGGGTATGGTGCAGCATCATGTTGTACGTCTCTATCTTTTTAATCTCAGTATTTTGATGGAAGCATTTAAATGTAGCATTTTTCGAAAATGAGTTTGTTTTGACGTTCATGACGATGAGCGCTCTACTTTTATTATACGATCGACTTGCGTCCCACCTCAACAAAATCTATCATGAAACGTCTACGATGCTACTCTTTAAAATGTCCCACCTATTCAGCTCAATTACAGCTACGTAGTCCAAATTTACCTCTTCCTCGACCGGTGGGTCATGGCGAATCTTGGCAACGCATTGGGAAGACACACAAGTGCGATGGAAGCTCTGGTCGGTGCCGTAACTCGTCGCTATCGCTTTACCTGGCTCAATGGTACCGTACCATTGGTACGGGATGCGACAATCGCGATTTCTGGTCCTTCGTCTCCATAGAGTTCTTCAATCCAGCAGTTTGCCTCGCAGCTGTGATTGACGAAGCGTTTCATGTTTCTGATAGCCCTAGCAGCTTCAAAAATACTCCGATCTCGCTTATATTTTGCCTTCAACTTCACGTTATACTGCTCCCCACATCCTCGTTGCAATTCCGGCAGTCATCTTAGAACACGGTTTCGAGCACCCACACGCTGTCTCTACACGGTCCACCTTGAGCTGGATCTGATAATGAGTTAGTGCTTCTAAATGCACACAGCGTTACTTGGTTACTTATTGATGATGCCTTCAGGAAAGGCGAGCTCAGCAGGCGTCCGAGCTTAAGGAACCTGTAGAAGACTCTCGGAAATGATGAATGGTAAATTCCCCGTTGATATTGTCTACACAGGATCCGACTCTCTCACTTTTCGCATTTTCACGTAGCGTTTTGTTTTGCGCTTATGAAATTATTGTCTTACGGAAATGGGTCTTACCTGTGTGCGATTTCGTCCAAATATCAAACCGGGTAGACAACTGAGCCACGTTATTTTGGTCATGCGCACACTGTGTTTTGGCCTCTTGATCGCTTAGTGTGCCGTCCATTGGAAGCTCACTCGTTTTGCTGGCAGCTTGCGACATAGTCGCACGAGCAAGTTGTTTTCGATAACGATTCGGTAGCCCCCTTGTATCAGTTTGTGTATGTATAGGGTAGTTGTAATATCATCTTCGGAGGAGTATTCTACTTACAAAAAATGGCTTTAGGTAACATAACAAGTACCTACTGTTTGTAAGTCTGTCTGTGAGTGGCTAAATGCGATAGAGTACATGTATCTACCCGAGGGCGACCCAGTTCATATTTCACGCTCCCATCAACTCCGTCCAATACTGTATTCAAGTATAATACTGTTGTAGGCTTGGCTCAAGCTGTGAGTTTCGGCCACTCGCCAAAGCCATGTTATTTACGAGAGAATGGTGTAAAACGCTAGCCACACTCTAGTCGCAGTGTACTACCAACGTAGCTGCTTTCTAGTTACTTTAACGCACCTTGACGCTTCATATTATGAAGCATTTGGGGCGCTCACTCTTCATATAGTGCGCCGAATTACGTTTAACTGCGTCGGTTAGTGCACCTAGCTTTGGGCAAGACTCCTGCATGAGAACAGCTTGGAACAACCACCTATAGCATATAAAAACGCAAAAGTCGTTTTTGTTGTTATACTGTAGTTATGCCACCCCGCCAGGGCGTTATTTTTCGACGAATAGTCAAATTCGGTCCGATTTTGATTGCATTTGAAAATTTGTAGTGTCCAAAATCTAAAGAAAAAAAAGTCTAGTTCTTATCGTTAGTGCCAGCACTGTATGTTCATTGCTTACCTCTCTCCACCTGGAACTACACAAGCGTTTTCAATCTTGTGGTGCTGGTTTCTTGGTCAGCACTCCATTCGTCGTGCGGAATGCGTCCAAACCGACTCTTGGAGTTAATGATTGTAAACTAGAATTTTACAATAGCAAGGTCCATAAAAATGCCGCAAAGTGACCAGTACTAATTCTTGTACTTGAGAGCTAGTTGAAGTGAGTAGTACTCACTGAGTACCATAATAAAACGTGCATTATACAGAATTTTAAAACGCGGTATCCGGTACATAACAAAAAGGGGCTCCTACCTTTGAAGACGGAGCTCATCATGCACGTCAGCTCCGCATAATGAACGTCTGGTAGTCCTTCCGTATTTCTTGTAACACGCGATCACTGTCGCTTTGCCAGACCTCTCCCGCCGGACCAAGCGGTACTACAGTACTGCACCCCGTTTTCGCGGGGGTGGATCATATATAATTTGCAAATAAATCATATTCTAGCATACAACGTTTAGTTCGTTTGGATTCAGGATCATCACATCCGGAAGTTTTTTAAAGGTCCAAGTGCGCGAAAACGAGGTGCAATACTGTACTCCCTCCACACTACCCCACCCCCACCACGTGCACTTCCACAGCTAGTAGGCAGGTTAGTTGTCCCACCAGCAGGCAACATTTATATTGGGCGCTATCGCTGACTAATCGACTGTGTATCTACCGCGGTCAACACCGAATATATTATTATTCACAATGATCTCCTTGCACAGTCCACGTCAGATGACCATCACAGCTCCGACACTGTCTTATCTCCTTGCAAGAAGCTGCTTTGACAGTGTTGGGGCGTGTAAAACCAATCCGTGACAGTGAGACACTATTTCGCTGATCCGATTAAATCAAGGATTTTATTGAGGTTGCGAATCACCGCCGCGGGGCCTGACTTAGTGTCTTGCGGCTCGCCACAATAATTTCATTGTGTATCAGACATGATACCAGAACTAGTAATGTGTATGATACGATATAAGAGAGCTCTGGACCCAAACCAAATCTAGGCACGTTCCTTTTCTAACCGTAAGCTATTGGCGGATGCAGAAGAGCACAGTATGGTCAGCTTGGCTACCCATTTATGATGCTTGTCCTTCATGTAAGTCCTCAGCCTGTTACAGACAATTGCAACGGCAGTATTGTCTCGACTAATGCCCGGATCGGCAGCGCAGCGTATCTAGCTTGAAGCAGGCTTGGCAAAAGTCAATTACTGGGCAAAGCTTCCGAGCGCGATCCGTATCTGCACGAGGGTCGCTGCGGCTACTAATATGCAGATTCCTCGATCTATGCGTTAAGCTGTCTCGCGTCATGAAAAGCCCAAACCAACCAAGATGCGCCCTCGTCGGTCGTCTTCCAGAGGCTCTCAATATTTCCATTGTTAGACGATATTAACCTCGCGATAGGAATTCAGCAAATACAAGATGCATTTACTTTATCCTGTATCGTACAAGATTCATAATAAGCACAATTTTCATGTATCTGCCGATCTACATATTAATAGTGTTGCCGGGCTTATCTTCGACGCTGACTACGCTCTCACCGCGGTCTCTGAAATTTAAAAAGGAGTTATCATTCCATTCACATACCAAAACGAAGCTCATTTCAGCATGATCCGATCCAACGCGCGCATTCACTCCTCCTGTTCGACGATCTAATTGCGCATTTCCTTCTTTGGCTTCCTCGGTATCAAATACGTGGGGCCATTGGACAGGCCCACTGGCCTCTTGGAGTGCCACCCCTCCCTTTTCAGCTTGCCCCATCGAGCAAAATCAAGACATGTGTCTCAGATTCGGCTAATTCTTGAATAAACCAAATGAGTTCTGTACTGGATAATAATTGATATGTGGTACACATTACACGAAAATCTCTGAGCTTAATTATCGAAATCAAATTAGGTATGGAGAGGTTTGGTGGGACTTCTCTAATCGACGAAAACATATACGACCAGGACCCATACTGGTTAACACTACAGCTGTCGGTAACCATGAAGTGCACAGTCTCCCAGGAAACAACGACACTGTTCTCTCACGCCACGAACGATTTGGAAGGACACGCTTGCCGCACTTAGACTGCATGAATGCTGCACAGCTTTGAGTTATCTTACGGCATGGTAAAAGGTGCGATCTCATCGCTGATACATATTCACAAACATCAAGAATTAGCAAGCCAATTTGTAGGCGCAAGTACTACGTCCATACCGTTTTGGCTGCGTCGAATTCTCGTGTGCATTCTCAAAGCTGCTCAGTAAGCAGCAATCTTGCCACGAGCCTCTGTCAGGATAGCTTGAACTTTCTTTCGATGACAGCGGCAAACGATGGGTAGATGTGCCGTTATCAAGGAGCTCACCGCACGAGTCACATCACTCTGTGGCTTAGCAACAACGCTTGGAAACACGGATGAAATGCACTGGGTGGGCTTGCCGAAGTTTTCTACAGCTGGTACTTTCGCAGTAATTGGAGAAAAAAAATAAAGAGACACCTGTGTGTATTGAGCTCAGGCATTGGGTGTTTTGAACTGAGATTTGCCCGGTCCTATGTGCAAGTCGGCTCTGGGGCGGTTGTATCGAACTCCTGCGGTGGGGAGAACGAACCTGAAATGGTGTAGAAAGGAGCAGTAGCTTGCCAATGTTTCTGTTTCGTCTACACAATCTTAGCAACACCTAAGGCGAAAAACAAAATCTTTGATCGCTACACACTACGAAGCACATCACAATATTACTTTTTCTTAGCATTTTTTTACACTATCGCTCGCTAAGAAACTTCGTGCAATTACTCGAACACAAGAGATTTCAGTAGGTTCTCCATGCCATCCATGGCGTGCGCGATCGCCTCCATTGAGCTCGCGTACGAAATGCGCATGCCGAACTCGTCGCCGAATTCTGAGCCCGGCACCACGGCGATGTGCGAATCCTGCAGCAGGTATGCGCAGAAGTCGTCGACGCTTGTGAGTGCCACGCTCTTGTCAGCAGTGAGTGCCTTTTTACCCTTAAAGTACGACGACAGATCCAAGAACACGTAGAACGCCGACGTAGGGTACGCGAAGCGCACGTTCGGCATGGCTGTCAATCGCTTAACAATGTAGCGGCGTTTGGTGTCCAAGTTCTTCATCACCTCCGTGATGCGACGCTCTCCCTTTTCCATGCACTCCAACTCGTACTTAAGCGCCTCCACGGCCGCCACCTGCCCTACAGTGTTCGGACACGACGTCAATTGCGCCTGCAGCAATGTGCATGGGTCGATAAAGTACTTGGGTGCGGCAAGGAAACCGACACGCAGGCCAGTCATGGCGTGCGCCTTCGAGAATCCGTTCACAAGAAGTGTGCGCTCATACATACCTGGTAGTGTGGCGAAGCTCACGTGCTTACGCTCTGGCACACCCTCATCCTGATACAATAGCTGCTCGTAGATCTCATCCGAGACGACTATCACGTGGCTAAACTGTGGCTTACGCAGTACGGCGGCGATGCGCTCGAGGTGTTCGGGGCTGTGAAGCGTACCCGAAGGGTTACTTGGGTTGCACAAGATGATAGCTTTGGCATCCGGGTGCGCCGTCAGCGTCTTCTCCAGCTCCTCCGGGTTAATTAGATAGTTCTCCTCGAGCGTTGTACGTAGAGGGATGGGCTCCGCGTACACGAGCTTGACGATCTCCGGGTAGTTGAGCCAGTATGGCGTCGGGATGATGACCTTCTGGCCCGGACGGCACACCGTGTACAGCGCCTGGTACACAGACTGTTGTGCGCCGTTCGACACCAGCACCTCTGTGGCCGGGTCGTACTTAACTCCCTTGGCCTTGTCCAGGTACGTCGAGATGAGGTCGCGCAGCTCCACCAGACCTTTCATGTGCGCATACTTGATGTTGCCTTCGATCATTGCCTTGGCTCCGGCGGCTAAGACGCGCTCGTTCGGGTTGTAGTCGGGTTCACCAACACATAGTGACCACACCTGCTTCCCTTCGGCCTCCATTTGCTTGGTCTGGCCGTGGATCAGCACGGTCTTAGCGACTGTCACCTTCTGGAACATCGGGTTCAGCGGGTACTTGTCGGCCATGGTGATGTTGGTACCGGTCTCAACACGACCAGTCTTGCGCGACAGTTCTGCCGCCGTCACGGCCTCTACGCTCTGTGAGGTTGCGTAGGAGCCCAGAATGCGTACAAACGCGCAGATCTCACTGAGTCTGCGCATGGCTGCCGCCAGGTTAGCGTCTGTAAGATGGCCCTGCACGTCTACGTAAAAGAGGTACTTATATCTGCGGGCGTCCACGGCCTTCTCGCCACTCTGCTGTGGCTCCTGACCATCCCATGGACGACTCTCGATCTTGGTCAGGTCCAGGTCGTGCTGTGAGAAGACCGTGAGCGCACGGGTCAGCATTCTCTTAGCTGTACTGTCCTTAAAGCCAAAAACAAGCGACGTCTTGAAGTCCACACCGGCAGTTCTCTCGTCCAGCGCCAGGTCCTCTTTCTTTGACAGCAAAAGGAAACGCGTGTACGAAGTGAAATCCGCCTCTTGCTCAGGTGTGAAAGACTCTTGAAGGTCATATTCGCCCACGATGTGCAGGCTATATTTGAGCAGCAGGTCGTAGTTGATGTGGATGCTACCGAGTGAGGACGACTCAATGGGGAGTATCGCGAAATCCATTTTCTCGTTCTTGACGGCGGCGCACGCGTCCTCGACGCGCTTGTAGGCGACCGCAGACGCCGAGTTGTCAACGAAATGGCGTGCGGCACGCTCGGCCTCGCCGCCTTCGTATGCTATCTTGAGTTCTGCTCCCATTGCGTCTCGTTGAAGTAGGAAATGTTAAGGATGTTGACGTTGGAGGTGCTTGTTGCGAACGCCGCCAAATCGGAAGTTTTAGTTTGATCTGTGGAAGGACACCGTATATTGAGAAGTGAGGCTCTTTTTCTAACCTTCTTACCTGCGCTCTCGCGCTTCCAACAGTGTTCTTCACCATCCGCAGGAGTGGCGGCCGAACCCGGTTACGGGACCGCGGTTACACCGGTGTAGCCTCATGCACAATTCTAACAGGAAGTGAGTGCGTTCGTTCTCCATGCTGCTAGTCGCCACGCGGTCACCGTGGCTCCCTGCACTAGCACTTCACCAAGCGTGACAGCAGCTTCGTCTCCCATCAGAGCGGTAGCCTATCGGGTACGCGCTGTTGCTGCCGACCAAGTGTGTGTTTGGTCGCAGTGAGGCACTTTTATGTGAAGGAAAACCCAGGTGGGTTTTATCAAAGAGCCCAAATGTCTAAATTAGCAACAGGAATTTTTGGCAATAGTAAAAAATAAACTCAATACTACGTAGTACTTGTAAAGAAGGCTACCACTCATCATAATCATCAGCATTAGACAATACCGGTTGCAGTCCAGCTTGGTATCCAAGGTGTTGCCAATGTGATCTGATGGCTAAAGAAGTGCATCAAAGATGAAGAATGGAAGGTGCCAATGAATGTTGGAAGCTCTGGTTGAGAGTTAGCACACAAATCTAAATAGTCTTCATTTTAATTAATGAGAGTGGCTACTGCGCCCATCTGAGGAGGTCTCTTCTTTGTCATGCCCTATTCCTCGTGTGTCATGCTCTGCGTACGCTATACGAACGACGGCGTATACAGTATACTGCAAGGACAGAACGAGTAGCTCCCCCTCATTTGGACAAAAAGAGCAAAGCGGCAAGTATGGAGCGCCGGCCGCGTCCAGCACAAAAGCGCCGACAGTACGCTGCTCCGAGTGAAGATGATAGCGACAACGGTGACAGCGACGCCGAGTGGACACTGCCATCCGGGGACTTGAGTGTACAGTCGTCGCAAACCTCGAGCCAGTTCGAGACACAGAGCGCTTAAGAGGAGGCCTCCAGTGGAGAGACATCTTGTGCCTTAGCCCCCCAGCTACTTCAGATGCAGTTTGACTCGTGGGAGTCATTCCATGCTTACCTCAACGAGTATATGGCGCAGACATACCAGGTTCGCATCGCTAAGAAATTGTTTAGTTGACAACTAGCCTAATTACTACTGTATGTGTACCAGATCTTTCGAATTTGTACTAACAACAAGGTCCAGGAGCGCAACCGCAAGATTCAGAAGCAAAATACTTTAGCTCCTCTAATCCCAGAGGAGTGGATCTGGTACAACAAGACCCTTGTTTGCACCCACGCGGGCAAGTACAAACCGCGGGGTAAAGGCAAGCGGCCACGTCGGGAAATACGATCGACTGAGCGCGGTGCACAGGTATGTAGTCATTTATATTTGGGCACAGTTGGGCTAAATACTATCGAGTTGGGCACAGATGGGTGAATTCCCATCGAGTCGGGTTCAGATGGGACACCTGCAACTGGATGTGCTGTAATGCCTTTCGTAATACTGACAAAATATGTGTTCTTCCTTCAGATAAACGCTTGTGTCCGTGTCGTCAATGGTAGCACAAACGACCCTGTGTTCGCGTTATGCGTCACTACTGCCAAACTGTAGCATAACCGTCCCCTGACTCGTTCCAACTACGAGCACTACTCGTCGGTCCAAACGGCACTTGCTCCTTCCATGGTGAAGACGGTTGATGTTTTGCGCAAGGCGAAGGCAAGGAAGAAAAATATTCTGCAGTTTGTCCTTGAAAATTCAGACTGTAACATGAAAATTCGCGACGTCCACAACCTCATTCAGCGCCTAAAGGATCAAGAGCGTGAAGGAACGACGAGCAAACAGAGACTGAAGACGTGGATGCAAGAATTTGGGGATGAGCCTGGTAATGTGGGTCGCGTCTTTGTGGAGATGTTGCTGCAAAGGGGCAACTTAGCGACAATACTATGAGCACGTTGCTGACAAAACTGCTCGGTCCAAATCCGATGATTAGAGTGGCAAGTCCAGGCTCAATACGTGTGCCTGTTAACGGCGAAATTTGGACCGACGATGATGCTTTGCCCGCTCTGTTTTTCGGTGCATCCACGGAGCAAGTGTTGGTTCCAGTCAGCTGTAACCTGAACCACTGGTGTGTTATCATGATTGACCTCGAAAAGCGCAGAATCTACTTCTACGATCCGATGGAGTCGACGTACAAGGTTGGAGTCCGTTCAGCTGCAGAACACATCAAAAATTTGCTTCGGGTGCAAGGATTCGAAGGGTGTCGCGTCCAAAGCTATGGGAGCCATCTCGGAGTCCAAGCAGATAACTACAATTGTGGTATCTATGTTCTAGTCGCCTGCGAGGTGTTTGCAGGTGCACAGTCGCCGGGACTAATCGACAAGAAGACGCTGCAGTATCTGCGCTACAGATACCTTAGCTTGTGCATTTCAATACATTACATTTTTGACCAAACCAGTAGTAAAATGCGAATGAAAATGCGCTTGTGAGATGTTTCACCCGTAGCTTGCTGTCAGTCCAAGACAGACATAGCCGTATAAGAGTCCGGTTAATCCCGTATAGGAGTCCGGTTAATCGCAGCAACCCGTATAGTTGCGTGACACGCATCAAAATATTACATTACTGGCTCTTTCGGTAGATGGGCACAAATGGTCGTATGTGGGAGTCGGATGGTGTCGGATGGTGTCGGATGGGAACCAATGCCTCGTCACATTTTCCCCCAGATGGGCACAGTAACACGTGCCTTAATTACCGTAGCGTCGTAGTCATAAGCGTCGTTTACTTCTAAGGGTCAGACTACCAAAAACCAATCAATAAGCGGTATTTCTGGCAGGTGGTTTTGTTTCTTACATTTGGGGTGACAGGTAATTTTAGAGTCAGTTAGGATAAAACAACGCTTCATTGTCAGAAAAGCACCAGCAAACAGAGCCATGGGCCGCCCTCGTATAAATGGGCAAGGCAAGAAGCGAAAGTCGTATCAACGCACAGCGGTGGAGTATTCACACAAGAGGGATGTTCTAAATTACAATGAAGAAGGTCAAAGTCTTGATGAAACGATTGCACACTTCTACGGTGAGCTGACCGATGCTGCAGTACGAGCTAAAAAGAAGCAGATCAACAAGTGGGCCAAACAGTCCGCTGATATCCGTGCTGCGTGTGAGTCGGGCCGCGGCAGGCACCAAAATTTACGTAGTCTTGGTGATGCAACTGTGCTCTCCAAGGCGGCCGAAGCGTCGATCGTCCTTTGGCTCAACTCCCTACGAAAGGATGGCGCACCTGTGTCGCGACTCATGTTGCAGCTAGAGGCAAAAGAGACTGCTTCTGACATCGGGCTTGGGGATAAATTTGCTGCCTCACCGACGTGGATAAAACTTTTTCTAAAACGGCACAAACTTTCACCTCGTGCACGTACGAGGCAGGTGCAAACGACACCGGAGGACGCTCTAGAAGCGGCTAGATCGCTCCGGACATTGGTGCTGCAGACAATAACCGACAGACAGTGTGTACAAGTATACAACGCAGATCAAACGGGTACGGTACATTTTTTTAAAAGTTACTATTATTTTGTTTTGCTGAGGAACATGCACTGTAGCCGTGAATTATGAGTACTTGCCAAAACAGACTATAGACCAGCGTGGTGCTAAGACCGTATGGGTGAGGTGTGGTAATAAGGAGAAGGCTCGAGCTACTGTCATGCTCTTAGCAGACTGGGAAGGTAATAAGTTGGATACTTTTCTAGTATTTAAATGCCTACCTTCTACAATAACGACCAAACGCGTCGAGAATGACGCTCTGCGCCATGGATTTAGTCCAACAATGTGGAATCGTGAAATTAGTCCATTACAAAAACGACTTAGCTGCCAAATTTACGGAAACAAATGCGCGTGGTGGAATTCAGCGTTGTCTGTCAGATTTCTACATTTTTTTTTGCTGAGCGAGCGAATCTGGATGAAAACATTTTACTAATCTGGGATGACTTTAGCGGGCATTGGACCGATGAAGTCGAGGAATACGCGGCATCGATTAACGTTGTCCTTCTCAAAGTCCCACCGAGATACACTTATGTCTGCCAACCGGCAGACATATCATGGAATAAGTCTTTTAAAGCTAGGCTACGCACATTGTGGGTTTGCCGCTCACGAAACCAGCTTGTAGAGTATCGCACTGCAGAAGAACGACGCCAGCACAAGCGAGAAGAGCTTCATTCGTTGATTGCACGAGCTCGCAAAGATTTGACCCAAGAACGGGCCGATGACGAAATCAAACGACTTCAAGATTTGCACACAGAAGACCCGTTCAAATTAAAGCCACCTAATCGAGCTGACATCACTGAGTGGGTTTCGGCGTGTTGGACAAATCTTTCAAAGGAGACAATTGTAAGCGGGTTTGATAAGATTGGCATCATTAGCGACACGCGCACAGTAGCGGATCTGACGGATATCGAGATTGCATACATTGACAGTAGTATTGTCGAAGAGCTGGAGAATTGCAATCTTGCCGACGGCCATGTCGATTCGGACGATGACATTGAATCTGACGATGATCTAAACAGCAATGTCGAATAATTACATTGCACGTATTATCCTCCCAACGTTTCGTAAAACCATGATTTGCTCACATCTGTCTGTGCTTGCGATGTGAAAATCTTGCTATTGAAGTGACGCCTAGGACTACGACGATACGGTAATACTTTCTTGGTTAGGAATGAAATCAACGTTCGATCACCGGAATTCGGTGAAAGACCCACGGGGTATTTGATCCACAAAAAGAGCTTATCTGCGACCAATCAAGTGATTGGTCGCTATAGCCGGGACGTTCCTGATACTGAAGCAAGTGCTCGGCTTTGTTACTGGCGAGTGACACCGCTGCCGACGTCACTCGGCTTCGCTCAATGAAACTTGCAATACAGCACAGCGCAATACACATGTACAAGTGGAAAGACCCTCTGAGATTTCTTCCATTTAAGTTGGGAAGCGAATGCAAGACGCGTACGACGAAGAAACTTAGTTTTTTACGCGTACATCGTTAGACTTGGGCCGGTAGTCCTGAATCTTAGATCGACACATACGCTAATGCGTTCCATTCTATTCTTATGTTCATCATGAAATTGCAGCCTTTCATTCTAACAAAACGAACAAACAAATGCTGGCTGCTTGTTATTAGCTCAGCAGCAATCTATTCAAACGTCAGCGCGCTCAGTGACTGCTCCAGTCCGTCCAGAGCGTGCTCGATCGTCTCCATTGAGCTAGCGTACGAGATACGCAGACCGTTCTTCACGCCGAACGCCGAGCCCGGAACCAAGGCCACGTAGTAGTGGCGCAACAGGTACTCACAAAAATCGTCCGCGTCCTTCACTACCTCGCTCTTATCCGCCGTCACGCCTTGCTTGCCCTCGAAATACGACGCCAGATCCAGGAACACGTAGAACGCTGAAGTAGGGTACGCGAATTCCAGCTGCGGGATCGCCTGCAGACGCTTTACGATGTACTTGCGCTTCCCGTCCATGATCGCCAGCGTCTCCGTCATACGCTCCTTGTTCTGCGACACACACTCCATCTCGAATTTCATCGCCTCCACGGCAGCGGCCTGGCCCACCGAACTCGCACACGACGTCAGCTGACCTTGCAGCTTCGTGCACATCTGGACGAAGTACTTGGGTGCAGCCAGGTACCCGATACGCAGACCCGGCATCGCGTGCGACTTCGAGAATCCGTTCACCGTTAGCGTGCGCTCGTACATGCCCGGTAGTGTCGCGAAGCTCTGGTGCTCACGCTTCGCCTCACCCTCGTCCTGGTACACCAACTGCTCGTAGATCTCATCGGCGACCACCAGGATGTGACGGAACTGAGGCTTACGTAAAACCGCAGCGATGCTCTCCAGCTGCGCCGGCGAGTGCACCGTGCCAGCAGGGTTACTCGGGTTGCACAGCATCATCGACTTAATGCGCGGGTTGGCCACTAGCGCCTTCTCCAGCTCCACCGGGTCGATCAAGTAGTTCTCCGACAGCTTCGTCTGCAAAATCACAGGCTCGCCGCCTGTCAGCTTCACCATCTCCGGGTAGCTCACCCAGTACGGCGCTGGGATCAAAACTTGCTCGCCCGGCTTCGTGATCGTCAGCAGAGCCTGGTACACTGTCTGCTTCGCGCCGTTCGACACCAGAATCTCCGTCAACGGATCGTATTTTAGACCCTTGCACGTCTCCAGATACTGCGCTATCAACGTACGCAGCTCGGCCGTGCCCTTCACGTCCGTGTACTTCACCTTACCCTGTTCCATGGCAGTCATACCAGCCTGCAGCACGCGCTCGGCGGGGGCGAAGTCGGGCTCGCCCACACACAGCGACCACACCTGCTTGCCCTCGGCCTCCAGCTGCTTCGCCATTCCATGGATCACCACCGTCTTGGACGCCGCAATCTTGCCCAGCAGCGGGTTCTGCGGGTACTTCTCAGTCATCGGAGCCTCCTCACGAACAGTAGACGTGGCGACAGGCTTGTTGCCGAGTTTGTGCGTGACTTCGGCCAATGATTCACGGAACTTCTGGATCTGCTGCTCGGAGTTGGGGTTGAACTTGTAGAGACCCTGGAACAGGTCGAAGCTGTCCTTGCACGTGTCTTCCACAAGTCGAACGAGATTCTTGAACCCACGAGTGTCGATAGGCGTGTTCTTTACGCCCTGTACACTAAGAATTCGACCGGTCAAGTGCGTCAAGAACTGGCTGCTCGCAGCGTATTCGTCGTGCGACTCGCACGTCATTTCCAGCATTCGACACTGCTCCGTCTCGAAAACGCGCAGGAAATTGTCCATCACGTGGTTGTGCTCTCCCGAGAGGATCCGCACCTTCTCATGCATCATCGGTAGGCCTCTCCACGAGTATTTGCCACTTTCGGGGCCAAACATCGGGTGCGTACACAAGATACTTGCACTCTGAGGAAGGTCTCGGAGCATAATCTGCTTCGGGTGGGTCTTCACAGACAGCACGTCCACAATCACAAGCTTTTCCAGAAACTGCTTGGGGATCTTGCTCAATACACTCTCAAACGACAAGATACTGACACCCAGTAGAAGAACGTCCAGGCCGTCGAAGAATTGCTCGAGCTGCGTCGTTGACGAGTAGTATTTGCATCCGAGCTCCGTTGCAACAGCAGAGTAGTCCGTCCTGGAGGTGGCCCGCACCTCGTGGGTCTTGGCCATCGTCTTGGCCAGGAACTGGCCAAAGTTGCCGAAGCCATAGATTCCGATATTCAAGCGCTCGGCCATGGGCTGCTGCGATGTGATAGCCGGTGAAGCCGTGACCGGATTGGCCTGGTACGCGCCGACGGCTTCCAGCGTCTTACGCACCTCGCCCAGTAACTTTCCTTTGGTCGGGTACGATCCCAGCACGCGCACAAACTTGCAGAACTCGCGTAAGTGACGCAGAGCATTGATGACGTTCTCGTCTGTCTGGTGGCCGATGAGATCCACGTAGAACAGGTAGCTGTATTTCCTGCGGACGCTCTCGGCCGACAGTGAAAAGTCCTCGGACTGTACTGTATCTTGGTATTGCTGCTCGGCCGTGTGTCCCCATGGTCTACTCTCAATCTTAGACATGTCAATGTCTCGTAGCGAGAAGGCAGACAACGCCTTGTACAGCTGACCCTTCTCGTTGCTGTTCATGAAGGAGAAGACGAGCGACGTCTTAAACTCCGTGTCCGCCTTAGCGTCCAGGCCCTTTTTACTCAGCAGCAGGAAGCGGGTGAAGTTGCCTGCGTCGTCCTCAACATTGCGTTGCAGCACTTGGAGACCGTAGTATTCGGCGGCTAGGTCGCTGGCCACGGCGGCGGTGTCCTTCCACTGGTTGTCTGCCAGCATCTTGGCGCTACCGGCCGTGTCATATTCAGCGCGCGGCTTGGCGCCCATAGATGCGATGGTGTGGGCGCACTGAGCCAATGCCTGTGGGTGGCTGATGACCGTCTTGATGTCGCTCTTCTTCACGCCTGGTAGCGCCAGTAGCGAGTGCTCCACACGCAGGTCGTACTCGCCCACAATGTGCAGTCCGAACTTGAGCAGCAGATCGTAGTTGGCGTGGATACTACCGCCTAGTGAGTTCTCGATGGGCAACATGCCAAAGTCTGCTTCCTCGCGCTCTACGGCCAGGAAGGCCTCTTCGAAGGACGGATACCCCACAGCCACGACGTTGGTTGACGAGCCTAGCAGCTGGCGCGTCGCCTTCTCCGAGTAGGCGCCAGGCATGCCTTGATACGCGACCTTGACCTCACCCTTCACCATGGTTGAGGGTTTGTGAGTAAATTAATGAATGAAGACGGACGCTGTCTTGGGTGCAAAATGAACGAAGCTTCTTGTGGTTAGCGAGTTGGACAGGGCCCTCTCAAATTCGATGCTGACTTTGCAGCTTACCTTCTTGGTAGCTAAAAACAAACGTCAGCGAGTGTACCAGTAGTTAATTTTTGGTGAAGAGCTATTAATAGATATTGACTTATTATTGACAGCAGTAAAAAACAGTAGTTGCAGCATTTGCTCATTGTAGGAAAGAACACTCCAAGAAAACTTGCATCGTGTAACACGATTCGTGTTATGCCAGATACAGCTTGCATGATGAACGTGGATATTGAACGATGTTGAAGTGCAAATACATGTACTGGTAAGCCAAGTGAACACGTACTCAGCCCATGTCTCTAGCACGAGCTTTGACACTCTTTCGTCTTGCCGGCCCGAAAAATTCTGTTCATTTACTCGATCTCTGTGGGTCAACTCCTCAAATTGTGCCCCACCCTGCTATAAAGCCCCCTGAGGTATTAAATGGAGTACCCCTGGGGCACTATTACTCAACCACGAGTCATGATCAAGTGAACATAATTCGCCACTCAAAAGCTTAGGTTCCACATTTTGGCGGTTTCTCGGTTATGGGAGCCGCTTCGCCATCATTAGTGGAGACTTTTAAAAGCTAAAAGCTCCACTACCAAACCTTGCAGAAGCCGCAGCGATGCCTCTCTACGCAGCGGTCTCGCCGACGTTTGCCACGCAGGAGGGTTCGCTGGACGAGCTGGTGAACTCGACGTTCTATGCTGAGTCCATGATCAAAGGCACTGGAACGGGCGTCACCAAGCACGCGACGACCCTCGGCCGCTTCGAAAAGGTCTTCGTCTTCATGGTAGACCCCAATTCTTCGCGCGGAGCTTCGCTCTACAGCTTCTTCATTGCATGTGCAGCCTTCACCAGTTGCTTTATCCTATTCCTGCAAACGCTGGACGGTCCGAACCACCACAGCTCCGAGCCTGAGTACCCGAAACTTCCCAACGAGAGCGGCTACTATGACGCAGATCTGGTATTTACCATCATTTTCACCCCGGAACTACTCGTTCGCCTCGTCATCTGGCCATCCTTGTGGCGCGAACATGAATACCTCACCGAGCGACGTCTGAAGCCATTTCTGCGTGACTTTTTCAACTGGTTCGATGTCGCTGCCATCGTCCCATTCTACACCGACCTCATATTCGGTAAGGAGAAGAGCTTCGTCATCATGCGGCTATGTCGACTGCTTCGAATCTTCAAACTGGCCCGCAATCACTCCGGAACATACATTCTGCTGCGAGCTATCCGCGCCAGTGTCGCCCCCATTTCCGTGGCTCTGATTTTCTTCACGGAAATTGTGCTCTTCTTCTCTGTTGTCATGTACATGGTGGATCCGAGTTACGACCGCAATAAACCAGGCTTCTCGGATCTACTAACCACGGGCTACTTTGTAGTGGTCACTGTGGCCACCATCGGATACGGAGACATCACTCCGACGAAAGGCAACGTGGCAAGCCGCTGTTTCGCTGTCATGATTATCATGTCTGGTACGCTCTTCTTGTCCATGCCTCTCGCTATTATCGGAACAGAGTTCGATCGCGCTTGGAAGCAGCACGCAGAGAGTGTCAAGAAGTTCCAGCAACTTCAAGCAGGAACCCACGTAGCTACCCCCGTTAACATCGATCTAGCAGCCGCCACAGGGGACAATCGGGCTCACCAGAAACACGAAATCCTCGTCAAGTACAATGCACCCAATAGACTTTACTTACGACTAGCAGCGCTTACGGGCGAGGCGTCTCTCATCACGCAGGCACTTGTGACCGAAGCTACGTCCCAGGAGTTCAATTTAGGTCACCTCCGTGACATTACTGGTGATCTGAAGCAAACCACTGAGTTGTGTTTCCTCAAGTGTGAGGAACTGGCGGTAATGGTCCGTGATATGATCGTGGCTGAGTCTCAGGAGGTCGCTGCGCCACCCACATGGCGAGAATGGGCATGCACTACCATTCTGGAGCCAGAGTCCTCATTCCTGGCTCGTGCGATCTCCCGATGGGTCAAGTTCTGCCTCATATTCAGTATGATCATCGTCGTGTTCCAAACCATGCCAGATCTACAGACGTATGGCGAACAGACATACTTATGCGAGCGCAGGGTTCAGCGTTACTGTGAGAATGTGCTGGATATCAGTAGCGATGGCAATGATCCTGGCTGTTTTTCCGTTGATAATTCCAGCGCTAGACTTCGCTTTGGTTGCTCGGAGACCGAGAAACTCGAAGATTCAACTTGCTACGGATATCCAGGAAACTTTGGCAGTAGCACAGTGGATGACAGACTCTCGTGTGACGGATCAGATAAGGTGCTTCTGTACACTCTGAACCTGAACAAGTCTTCGTACCGAGACCAGATTGATCGCATTTTACCTTTTCGACAAGATAACAACCTCATCAAACAGGATAGACGTCTGAGCGTGTGCAAAAAGTGGGAATGCGACAACCTGCACGTGACATTCTTTGAGTTTGGCAATGGCTATGTGGCGATGGAGTACATTTTCACTCTCACGTACCTGTTCGAGTTCGCGGCCGCTCTGTTCGTGTGTGAAAGCTACCGTACCTATTTCAAAAACCCTCTCGTGTTCATCGAGATGGCGTCTTTCTTTCCATTCTTCGTGTTTGAAGGTCGTCGCTTCTTCGGCGGCGTCACGCCCATATACGTCATTCCTCCAGCCTCTCAAGAATTCCTTACCTTCCTGCGTCTGCTTCGCTTGTCCCGTATCTTCAAAATCCAACAGAGTATTCCTGTTACAAAGGTGCTATGGGAATCGATTTCGAAGACGTCCGCAAGACTTACGATCCCGTACTTTATGCTTATGGTCGTGACTACCATTCTGTCTTTCATCATGTTCGAGCTTGAGAAGGGTCAGGAGTGTTTCTACGGCCAAGAATGTATCATTGGAGAGCACAACATGACGTTCCCGGCTGAACTTGAGGGTTCGTTGCCTGGTAAACGCTTTCTTGTGAATTTCAAAGGGGAAATCTCGAGCTTCGACGACTTCTTTTCAGCTTTCTGGTTTGTTATCGTAACTTTGGCAACTGTCGGCTACGGTGACATGGAGCCTGTGACGAGCTCGGGAAAACTTGTGGCTGTTGTCGCTATGATTTTCGGAGCCTGCTACACGGCCATGCCTCTTACTTTGGTCGGATCTCAATTTAACAAGAGTTATCTCGAGTATAAGCGACGTGAGGCGCTTCTGAGAACTAAACAGGAGGTTGGCAAGCCTTATGTCGTGCAACCAGGCGAACTTCAGCGGTGGGAAAACTTTGCGCGCAACGAATCCTTCAGTCAGATGCTGCAATTATTACGTGATCGCCTCGAACCTTTGCTGGATTCAATTGAAAAGAGCGAGGTTGACATCATCGACGATGACCACAAAACTGATATATCTAATATTTCCACAGAGTTAAAGCGCGTCGTCTTTGTCGAGCGGGTACGTTGTCACGTGTTTCACACTCCTCTTCATGAACTGATTGGTCTGCTTAAACCGTGTTCGAATTGCGCAGCTACAAGTTATGCGAGTAAGCGTGATAGTAAATTATCTGCGCAAAGAAGGCATTCGCTTAGCTGAGCAGCAAGTCACGGCCTTACAGAGTGTAGTTAGCTGAAATGCGGTGTCACTTGTTACAGTAGTCGCTACGCAGAGCGATTTGAATGCGCTTATACTTCGTAAAATAGACGCGTAGGTAGCAAATCGATACGCTTCTCCGCCTTCACCTTGACACGTTGACCAAGCCATGCTAAGTTTTCTTTTTTTTTTCTTTAAAATGATTTTACAAATTAAAATTATGCTTTGCAGCGATTTTGTACTGGGTATATTATTTATAACAGGTGGTAGAATACAATAAACCTTTCTACTGTATTAGAGAGGTTGTGCAAGACATGTGAAAAATAACAGCTTACACAATCAGATTAGACATGTGGATTTATAACTGTAGCGGTGTGCAGCTGTCATTTTTCAGTTTTGAACCGTGGCCAATTCGATGGACAGCAGCGACAGCGACAGCAGTGACGAGGAGGATTTTGCGCTCCTCACCCTTCATATTCGCAGAGGCAACAAATGTCGAGCCGACAGGCTCAATTTCGAACAACCCGCATCCGCTTCCGTTTGGAAGACGATTTTCGTTTCAAAAAGGACGACATAATAGCTCTAGTCAGACATTTCAAGCTACCAGACCATTTCCTGACACCACAACGGTATCAAGTCTCAGCTCTAGAAGTTTTGTGCATTTTCCTTCGGCGGATGGCGTATCCAGCACGCCTCGAAGACCTCGAAGATCTATTTGGTCGCGATTCTACCGCTATTTCATCGATTTCGAATGGAGTGCTCGAATTTCTCTACCGCTCGCTCGCGCATCTCTTTCTGTTCGACACTCGCCGCCTTACGAACGATATACTGTCTAACTATGCCAGAGCTATCTTCGACAAGTAAGCATCGCTAAGAACATGTGTTGGTTTTATAGATGGCACGGTCCGAGGAATGTGTCGCCCGAAGAAAACTCAGAAGTACGTGTCCAGCGGTCGCAAGGTAAGTAGCGTGTACCAGTCAATGTACATTAGCGCGGAGCAGTAAATGCATGTAGCAACATTCTAATTTTGTCGTTAATACTTAGAGAAAACATGCACTCAAGTACCAATCGGTAGTTGCTCCTGATGGCATTATCATCCATCTCAGTGGGCCCTTTCTCGGCACTCGCCACGACTCATTTATACTGCAGCAAAGCCAGCTACTAGAGGCTGCATCTCCGTATCTTACTATTGACAGCAAGCACTACGTCTTCTACGGTGATCCAGCATACGGGCAACAAGACCATGTTGCTGCACCCTTTAAAGGTGTATCGCTGAGCAACGACCAACAAGAGTTCAACAAGAGAATGAGCAAGGTTCGTGTATGTGTGAAGTGGGGCTTCAGCAAAGTGGCACGCTACTGGGCGTTCTTGGACTACGCCCAGAACCAGAAGCTTCGCTGGGTAAAATGTATGTCATGGGGCACTGCTAGCAAACGTACATACTTGCTTATATGGATGTCAAACCTCAACGTTGTTTTGTCTTCCACCTCCTAGCGTACGTGAGTACTTATACAGCTAACAAAAAATCAATTTTGTTCTTACTTCTTTGCGTTAGTGATCGTCTCCATCCATCATACGCATCTGCGCCGTCATCACTTCCATCAGCTTATCGTTACGCTCGCAATCTAACTTCAGTCGATGCTCTTCAAGTGCAAGACGGCGTGCTTCTAATTTTAGGTGCTGTTTGTTTTGATCAGATCGACTGCTCTGCATGGCAGTCTTCGTATCTAGATAGTTCGCTATTAGCTCAGCGCTGGTTCGTTTTGCACGCTTGAACACTGGGCTCGCTCTTCGAGTCGCTCAAGCGGGATCGATGCAACCCTGACATGGCGTCTCGAACTACTTCTGCAGCAGCGGCTTCGCGCCGCTCTGCTTCTCGCTTTTCTCTATCCGTTTTTGTCCGCCTTCACTTGTATATATGCGTCATACTGAGCATCGCAAGTCAAAAAGATAAGAATATTCTTACAGCACATACAACATAAACGTACCAGTGATGCAATGTCCGTCAGGAGCTGCTCTCGCTCGGTGAAGTCTTCAGTCGTACCTAAGGATCAAAGTGACTCCATCTCATCTCGGCGAAAGGCATCCAGCAAGGCATTGAATCGGCGGTGGCATGCCTTTCCATCAGATGTGCATGTCGATAAAACTTCTTTTACGCCACTAGCTACGTGATCCCACGCAGTAAGCGTTTCTCCGTGTCCAGCAGCCCAAGGTGTGTACTTCACGATCTCTTTGAGGAGGAGAATGTCACTGGAGGGTAGGAAGCGAAAGACTTTTTTCCGCTTCGACTTGCCTCCGATAGTCTCCGTACACTCTGCATGATCCGTCGCATGGGCGTCACTGTCTTGACCTGGCATCGCGTTTTTCGAACTGATCATAGCCAGTTGTTTACGGTTACCCGATGTCACTGTGAGCACGGTTCTAACATGCTTTTCCTTCTAGTCAAATCGTAGTGGACACCTATCCACAGCCGTGGAAGGTTTCACAGCAGTCTCGTTTCAACTGCGCAAGGGTCTATTATACACTCCTGGACACAATTATGCGGCCACCTCGTCGAGTGCCCATAGCTCAGTCAATTTTTATTATTTGACTGTGCGGTTTTCACACAAGTTGCAATTCAAAATAGCAAGGATGTGCTAACGCTCGCGTTTCTGCACTTTATAGGGAGGCTCCCATACAAAAAAGAGATTTGTCAAGCTGGACACAATTTTCGGCCACCATCGGCCAAATACAAAAACCTATATACAATAAAACATGTGTCATTTTGGCTGACTAGAAATTTGTAAAGACAGAGTTTCTGTAGGTAATTAACCCTATTGTTCACGGTGCGCTTTCTTTTATTACGGATCATTCGTTTTATATTCCGGATGATACGTACTTTATTCTGGGCATAACAGATAATATTTTGTTTGTTTGGCTTAGACTAGAGATCTACAGCGGCAAAGCTAATGCTGACGAAGAGAACGTGGCATAGAGATCCGTGGTGTCGAATTTGAACAAAGTACTGCGTGGACAGCCTGCACAGCGACTTATCTGTACATTCAATTTCTATACTTCAGTACCTCTATCGCACAAGCTGTTGAGTATGGGGCACTCGCATATCGATACTATCAGGAAGGACCGTAAGGAGTGGTCTACGAGCATCGAATTCAAACAGAAACGACGGCCGAAGCGTATGCGTATAGGCATATATCTTTTGGCAGAGTGGAAAAACCAACCAGAGATCGTTGCGCTCACGTGGATGGACAACAACCCCGTGCGCTTCCTAGCCACCGGTTCCTTCACTCAGCTCGCTAAAGTATCGTGCAGGGAGGCAGACGGCTCTGTTAGCACGGTACCATGTCCGCACCTAGTCCACGACTACCATGAAGCAATTGATGTGTGTGGGCATTCACGACCAGCTGCGGCTGCAGTGTTACTCCATACAGCGGTCAATCAGAATGCGAGGATACTACAAGACAATACTTCTTGGGCTAGTAGAAATCGCAATGGTGAATTCGTTCATTGTACACAATCTGGTAATGAAGCAACGCAACAAGTCGGTGCCAACTCACGCAGCGTCCATGCGGCGCCTTCACGTCGACTCCTCAGTCAAATCCAGGAGGACTTAGCTGCTGGCGATGACTTAGAGGACTTGGTCACAGAGCCACTGCCTCAGCTAGCCCACACACTGGAGAAGACAAAAGAAATGACAGGAGCGAAGCTGCGGTAGTGGCTCTGTAACGTTTGCTCGGTGCATGCAGGTGCTGGTACTCGTAGCTACGAATCTAGCTTCTATTGTGCGACGTGCTCATGCGACAAGAAGATAAGAGTGACGCTCTGCAATAAGGTACGTCGTTTGGACCTAGGAAACCACCTCACCTGCAGCCAGATCTGGCATCAGACGTGGAAGAACGGTACGGCAATCCCAGCAGCGCTGCAGCACAAGATTCGCTTTGTGAAATAGCGCCGCGTAGAGGTTGATAGCGACGCTAGCGAGGAGTAAAAAAATTGAATGGGCACGTCTTTGTGCTGAAAGGTGTGCATTCAATGGCTCGTTGCTGTCCAGGTAGAAACGGTTTTGCAGGGAGATCTCAATCGACAGTTTTATTTGCAGGATTTTACCCTGCACATCGACATAGATTACTGTTTTCAACCTACAAGGGTTGACATTCAACAAGAAAACACACATCAACAGACAACAGGGCGTATGGCGACTAGAAAGCGCTGATAGCTATGTCTCACATACGCGACGATATGGACGATGGGAAATGGAAACGGTGGAAGCCGTCTACTCGGCTCCTTTGGCCCGTGAATCCATCCGTGCTCTATCTGGCCATTCTGCACAAGCTCGTCTTTACTATATGTCACGCGCAATAGTCGGTCCTCCTAAAGAGCTGTTGCTAAATATTTTCCAGGTCTGCACACATTTGTTAGTGTATAGCACTTCACATAACAGAGCACAACAAACCTCCCTATACAAATACCTATGTAGCTCACTAAAGGTATACCAGGAGGCAGTCTAATTATGGCACCACCAGCCATTCTTGCAGCGGCATGACACCGCCGCTGCTCGCTACTCTAATATCTCTTCTTCTTTTCTCGTCTTTTCCTCAAGTACTCCTACGCTCTCTACGATACCCGTCTTATACATGGCACGGATGTAACGTTCAACTCTGAAGAAGATTTACAGGAAAAGGAAGAGCCTAAACAATTACTGTACACTTTACTCGCTATTCGGTACGTGTCAGAGCCCACTACGTATCGAGAGGCCATGCAGTCTTCTCATGCTCATCAGTGGCCCAAAGCAGCAAGTTCGGAATACAAGACCCTCATGGACAATAAAACATGGGTGCTGGTACCACCACCTCAGGGTCGGAAAATCCTTACAAGCCGATGGGTCTTTGTAGTCAAGTATACCGGTACAGGAGATATTGACCGCTTCAAAGCGCGTCTGGTGATTAATGGCTTTCTCCAGGAATATGGCATTGACTACAATGAGATCTTCTCCCCAGTGATTCTAATAGAAGTCCTCCGACTCCTCCTTACGATCGCAGCCTTACTCGATCTAGAAATGCATCAGATGGATGTCAAAACAGCATTTCTGAATGGCTTCTTGGAGAAGGAGATCGACATGGCTCAACCGGAAGGTTTCAAAATCCCGGGTAAGGATCACCTAGTGTGCAAACTTCTTAAAAGCATGTACGGGTTTAAACAAGCCCCACGTGTTTGGTATCAGACACTATCTGCCTTCTTTGAGAGTCTTGGGTTTCACAAGCTCATCAAAGACCGCTGCGTTTTCTGTCGTACGCGCGACAATGCTACTTGCTACTTCGCAGTGTATGTTGATGACATTCTCATTATTGCGCCAGCACCAGCCCTCGTTCGCGAGCTGAAATCAGCCCTAAAGAACAGGTTTTCCATGACAGATTTAGGGGAGGTGACGTACTTACTCGGCTGGTCTATTCGACGTGACCGTAAGAATCGAACGATCTTTATCCACCAACACAAGTACGCTACGAAGGTCCTTGACCGCTTCAGCAAATACATTCCGTACCCGATTGCAACCCTAGTAGAGAGGAACGTTAAACTTTCCTCAAACAGTCAGCCTAGCAATGATGCAGAGAAAGATGCGATGAAAGACATTCCGTATCGTGAAGCAGTTGGTAGTGTTATGTACCTTATGGTAGGCATTAGGCCTGACATGGCATTCTATCTACGTGAGGTTAGCCAATTCCTAGCTAATTCAGGAATGGAGCATTGGAGCGCTGTCGTTCGAGGTCTCAAGTATCTCTCAGGTACAAAGAACTACGGACTTCTTCTTGGTGGATCAGCTGATATCACACCACAGAACCTAGCAAATAGCTTGACAGCGTACTATGACTCTGACTACGCTAACTGTCCCGACACGAGACGATCTGTCGGTGGATATGCCACTATGCTAGCAAATAGTCCAGTCTCATGGCTCTCACGCAAACACCACACGGTGGTACTTTCAACAACAGAAGCAGAATACATCGCCCTTTGTCACTGCATGCGAGAGATGATATTCCTCAAACTGCTCCTCAAAGAGCTAGGCTTTGCCACAACCAAAGCAAATACTATTCATGAGGACAATTAGAGCTGCATCAAGATCTGTTACAATCCAGAGCTGCATGGCAGATCGAAACACGTACACACCAGATATTGTTTTGTACAAGAAAAGGTAGAACGACACGAATTCACCGTCGACTATTGCAACACAAAAGAAATGGTTGCTGACACCTTCACAAAAGCCTTAGACAAGCATCAGTTCAGATAATTACGAACCAACCTCAGGGTGAAACCCCTTTGAGCATATAAAGTTCATTAGTGTATGAATATCACACAACCGCATGAAGCGTGCCCTCTGTAATGCGATCTTCTCTTTTTTTCCCTCTGGTTTTTTAGCTTGTCCGCGACAAAGGTTTCTCCTCATTGAGGTTTCCCTGACCAATGCACCACATGAGTATGTAATAATCCATGCACAAAGACAGCAAATTGCTTGGAAAGTTCATTATCAATAAGGCAAACCCGCGGAAATCTCTATCGACCCCTACCACCTACTTCTTACTGAAAACGATGAACGGACGAACGAAGGACACGAAGTTGATCCAGGTAGCTTGATCCGGAAACATGACGCCATCTTCATCAAACAAGAGTCGTTTCGCACCTTGTACATGTAGCACGAATGCATGGCCAGTGAAGGAGTCATTATAGGCCGCACATATGTAGAATCCATCGCGAAGCTCCAATTCCTCAAACCCACAAGATCCGCGTCGACCACCAGTTACAAAATTGTTCTTGACGAGGGCCTTGAGGACGAAGTCACGACGAGCATCACGAACACCACGCAGAAACTCGAGAAAGATCGCCCACGATGTACCTTGAGACAGGTCAAGTCCATACTCCTTGCGCATCTTCTCAACGAAGTCGTCGATGCCCTTCTGGGTAGCAATGTCCGGTCGTCCAGCCAGCTTCTCCACCTGTATAAACGCCTTGAGCATGCACAACCCAGACGTGTCTGCGCCGATCGTGTGCTTACTAAACTCGTCTTGCTTGCAGAACTTGTCGAACTCACTGACGTTTGAGTCTTTCCACCTGTCGACGAGAGCAAGCTCCTCCTCGAAGCCGTCCTCCAGCAGCGGTTGTCCTGGCTCCCATGTGCGCTGGTAATACCGGCGGTTATGGCGGTGATACACCATCCACAAGACGCGATACTCGAAGCCCAACTTGCTTTCGCGCCTGTTGATAAGTCTGGCAATCTGCCAAGTCTGCTTTGTCGCGGCAAACTTGTCACCAACTGTGACTCGGGATGGGCCATAGTACTCACCGTAGATACGGAAGTACAGCTCGGAGGTGTCGGTCGTAGCAGTGCCTTGGTCAGTCGCAGTAGTGGCTTGGTCAGGTTCAGTATGCGCTTGATCTGTCGCAGTAGCCGTTTGGTCTGTAGCAGTAGCTTGCTCTTCAACCTCACAGATTCGGGTGCGAAATCACACTGCAAAACTCTACAGGTCCTAAACACGCGAGCGGCAGTCCTGTTGCCCACCGTGCACAAGCGGCAAAACCAGTCCTGGTAGTCCTACTCGGTAGCAGTTGTGTGGTGTAGTAGAACACACAAATATCGTCAGATGTGGATTCCTTACACAAACCACAACGAATCGCCGAGTTAGGTCGGCGGTTTGTATGGCCTGCGCAGAGGGTGGTCCCCTCGCGGTCCGGCCCTTCCGGGACAGACGAGTGGCTCGCTTCCACCCGGTTCCGACTAACCAAGTCAGATCACTTCCGAGGCTCCGCCGAGTTTGGTTCGGCTGAGCTCGTTCACAACCCTGTGCCCTCCACCAAAGGATGGACGACGGCGCGCGAGCGCTTTTACAGGTCACCGAGCGCAGAGGCAGCTCAGCTAGAAGTGTTACGGCACCCGGGCTATCCGACGTACCGGCCCGCTGAGTATGCGGGACTTTCTTTCGCGCGTAGCGAGACTTTGTCCTACCCGGACCGACCTTATCTCTTGGCGCTACCAGTCAATACCCTACAAGCTATGCCTCTCGAGTATTGACGGCAGGCATAATCCAGCCCTATGCAGGGACTTACCGGAAAAGTGTACACGTGTCTTGGACTAGGAAAATTCTGCTCTGTTATCTTCTGGGAGCCTTTTCGGCTCCTCCTATTTAATCCTATGCTTCTCATACAAATATCTAGTGAAATGTAGTCGTTTCGGATCTCTACCGACTCTTCAGCTGAGTTCCGGCGGCCGTTGAGCTCAGCGGCTATCCGGATAGCATATCCGGACAGATCGCCAAGTACTTACCGTGATCCTTGGCTCCTAAGCTCTGGGTTATCAGACCGAGCCGATTCTTGACCTAAAGTAGGTCGGCGTATGGTCGAATCTGGAAATCCCTACACCACAACTGCCCCGGTTATGATACGAGCCGAGCTGGTGAGTGTCTTAATCCTTCATTTTGTTCTGCCACCGTTGGTCCGTACTCGGCTGATGACGTCTCGCGGCTCCCCACCACCTTCTTTGGTACGTTCGTTGCTTCCGCTGTCACTCACTTGGCAGCTCCTTACCCTTCGCATGTTGTTCTAGCACAACCCGTGGAACCATCCTTCTTCTCCAACTCCTCGTCGAGGTGAAGGCGTGCCAGCTGAGTCGATTCCTCGACCCGTCGGTACTCGTGGGGTCAGCGACCGGCATGAAGCTGGGCTGGTCGACCTGACAACTTCCCATGAGTCTGACGCGGAGTCGGCGGGGTCTTCTCGCGTGCGCCTTCCTGGTCCACCGAGCTTGCCGGGCGACACCACTTCGGGCGCCACCAATCCGCCAAGCTCGGCTGCTCCAGTGAGTCTTGACTCCCTCATGGCCAGAGTTAACGAGCAAGGGCATGATCGCCGAGAAGAATTGACCTTCTTGGCGAGGCTCATGGCTTACGGATTCACTCGTTCCGTGGAGCCCTCCGATCCTGTACAGCGGCGAGCGATTTTGCATGCTGCTTCCGCGGGGGAACTGTTGGATATCTTGAAAGGCAATTACGCCGCTCTTGATTACCCCAAGATCATCGGCGATCTCCAAGCTGACAACCAAGCTGTTCAGGAGGAGAACCGCGCATTGACTCGGCGACTGGACTCGCTTGCTCTCAGCAATGTCGACTTGTCAACTCAGCTCTCGTCGGCTCAACAGCAAGTGTCTCGATTGGAGGCTGCTGCCAAGCAATCGGCTAATCTCCTCGCGTCGCTGCGGAAGGCTGTAGCTCTGAGTGAGGCGAAACTTGCTCGGGCTATCGCAGCTGAGCAGAGTAAGGTCGACGCTGCGTTGAGTCAGGCCCAGCTCCACCATCAGCAAGTCTTGGATCGGGACGCCGAGATCGACGTCCTTCTTCGATCCATTTCTGAGAGGGATGCGGCGTTCATCACTCTTCAGGGCATCGCTTCCAAACACTTCGAACAGCTGCAGGAGTCGGTGCGGTTGTACAGTTCCACCGGTACTCAACCCTTGCGGCACGCTCAGTCGGTGATCGCTGAGCAGCGAGCGGTGATCTTGCGACAGAAGCGGCTCATCCGTCGGAATGGTATTATTCCGATGCACGATCCTCACATGGCTGCTGCTGCTGGCGGTGGCTTGCAAGTTCCTGGGCTTGATCCGTCCGACCTTCTCCTCAACGCCCGGCTGTGTCGTGTCTTGGAGTCTCGCTTTCCTGAGGTTCTCAACATTCCCGCTGGTGAAACTCGGCGGTTGGAGTTGATTGTCCATCCTCGCCGAGATGCTCCAGTGGCGAGTTCCGTTATTGGTCCTGGTGTGGTTCCCTCAGCTAGTCAAGCGTCTTCGACGACTTCATTGGCAGACTCGGCTGCGGCTCCAATCAGCTCGGCGGCGGTAACCACTCAGGCTGAGCCGACTCTTGCTCAGCTTCACCGTACGCCTTTGGCAAACTTGACCTCGACTCAGCAGCTTCGGCGTTATGCCAACCCCAAGTCTCCCACAGCCGCAGGTCCTCGTCATCGTACGCCGGCGCCGCATCCGCCTCAACCGTACGCTTGTCCACTCCCCGGAGAGGATGGACACGAGGCTATCAGTGCCCTTTTGCACTCAAGTTCGCCTCAAGCTACTGTATCCGATGGAGGAAGGCCTCGCTCTGGAAAGTCCCGTCGTCGGACTCGGCGGAAGAAGGTTCGTCACCTTCAGCTGAGTTATGCTACTCAGCCCGCTGTCTCTGCTCGCTCTGAAGACGATGGTGAGGCTTCGAGCGAAGCTGAGTTTGAGTTTGAGTTGCCTGAGCCGCCCGCCGACACCGTTCCTGCAGTCGCTTCGACGACTTCGGTGGGTTCTTCGTCTTCTGGCCCTCCGGTGACTTCGTCGGTCGCGGCTACTCGCCCACCGCCGATATCTTCATCTGATGTCGTGGCCTCACTGCCTGTCCCGGCTACGAGCGTGGGTGCCCCAGGCTCGACTTCGCCCATCTCCGCTGGGTTGCCATAGTCGAGCGCACCACTCAGCGTCGTGCTAACGGTGGTTGGACACTCCCAGTCGTCCTCTCGGGGTCTGAGCGTATCCACCACGCCGACTGACTTAGTGACTCCGGCCGTGAGTGTCCTCAGACCGTCTCTCCCTGTGACCACGGCCGTGTTGACGTCCCCATCTGGGCGTCCTATCCGGAGATCGGCTGCGACCGCCCGTACTGTGACTGCTCAGCTGCTTGAGGATCTCGACGCGTCTGACGACGAGGTGTTAGGGCCTGGTGATGGTTCTGTACCGTCCACCGGCTCGACAAATCCTGCCGCTGGGTCGCTCTTGAATCCCATTTCCTTATCAGAGCACTCGGCTGGCAGTCCTTCCGGTTCCGACTCAGCGACCGCAGATGCTCGTCGTTCCGCCCAAGCGAGAAGTCTTCATGCGGCGATCTTTGGTTCTGACGATGAGATGAGTGATGAGTCTTTGCCGCCGAGTGATCGCCCCTCCTCGCGGCCTTCATCGAAGGACTCTGGTGACGGGACGAGTTCTGCCTCTGCGCCGGCTTCGGGAAAGCAGCAGCATCGCAAGCGTCGTGCCTCGTCGAGTCCTACCGGTCATCGGTCGAAGCGATCCAAGAAGCACAAGGAGCACAAGAAGCATCACAAGACGCACCGACACCACAAGCATCGGCAGCTTCCGTCGACTCCTGATCCAGCTCCGGCTCAGTCCATTCCGGCTGCTCCTTCGCCGAGTAGGCTCCCGGTTATATCGATTCTCGCTCAGCCGAGTTCGACTGCCTCACGTCCGGCTGTGGTCGCACTTCCCAGCGCTCTTACACTTCCGCTGGCGACGTTACGGACTCGAGCCTCGCAAGCGGTGTCCAAGGATTGTCGCCTGACTCTTCACATGGCTCAACTCCGCGAGGTACCATTCATGCATTTCGGCTCAACTCGTTGTTGGAATGCATTATTGGATACACTGAGCGGAGGGGTGCAGATGGAGCTCGTTGGGGGCAAGAGTCGTGTGCCACCTACGCCGTGTTCTCTTGACGGCATTCGAGCTTTCATGGACGTTTTCGACCCGAGCCATCCATGTCAGCGTCTTCGGCGGATGCTCCCCGAGCTTCCTTTCTTCTTTTCTCCGTCGATACTGGAGGAAGCTCGGCGGTGTTTGGCTTCTCTGACCCGACCTCATACTTTGATGCAAGTTCTTGGAGATATGTGGGTGAAGCTTCGCGGCGACAGTCCCTTGGACTCGGCGGGGAGGCCCATCCAGACTGACGGCCAAATGACTCGTTACTTCGTAGCTCTCTATGAACGTCGTCATTGGATCGTCGAGTCGAGTGTGTTGATGGGTCTCCACCCTGACGTTAACCCGGCTGCCACGCCCGCTCAGCTCGCTGAGGTATACGAACTGTGGCTGGTGTACAAGCGCGAGCGCAAACGTCGTAGTGACACCTTGCGATCTCTGGTTGTTGCTGTCTACGACCAGCTTTACTCGGCGGTCACTCAGAAGCTCGGCGATGAACCTGCTCCTCTAGTGGACGCAGAAGTTTATTTCGATCCGTCCGTTCCCCATTACTCTCCCGTTAACCTTTCGTGGGTTCCTTCCGGGAGAGATTGGGTCCAGTGTGCTCACGATGTGGATCTAGCCGAGCCCTGGCGAGCTTGGTGGCTGACCGACCCGGCGGTCCATCCATACAATACTTGCTTCCGCGCTCGGAACGTGGACTTCTTAGTTTTCGCTCCGCGCGGT